GCAAAATTTTGTATTAAAGAATGGAAAGCAAAGAAGGGTGGCAAACTAATTTCTACTTGGGAAGGTTTATTTTTCTTATAAGTTCTTTAGTTTCTTAATCAATAAAATGGAAATAATATCTGCTCTATTTATTTCAAATCTGTTATATGAGGATCAACTGAGAACTTTGAACAGCTATTTAAAAACTGAAGCTACTGAACTTATTTATAATATTTATCTTTGTGTACTTCTTTGGGCAGCATTAACTCTACCTTATAGTCACTGCTAATCATTTTTAGTTAAACAAAATAAATACTCATCAGTGAATTTTGCATTTTGTAGTACAGGGTTCTAAATTTTAAAGAAAGAGAAATGAATAGAAAACAAATACAAGCATTGTAACAGAAAAAATATTGAAGAATGGCAAGGCTACAGTGCCCATCAGAATGGAAAGGCAAATACAAGAAGAAAAATCTATAATATAGGAAAAGGTTCAAGCCCATACTTGAAATACTACCTTCTTAATACCCCACACAAGTTTAAGTAAAACCAACTTGTAGAAGATCATTTTAAAATTTTTAAAATGTATTTCTTTCAGATATATATAAGACCAGGATACACCCTGACATAATCACAAAAGCATGGAACACCACTGGCTCCATTTCATTCATCAGTACCCCCCCCCAATTCCCACTCCCAGCTCATCTCCCTCTATTGCACTAATCTTTCTTAAAACCCTTTACAGTTTACTTTTTTGTTGTTTATTTAATCAGTGTCTTGTGGATATACTCAATGCCAGGACCCACCATTCCACATCTATGTATACACATACAAAAGTTTGGTCAGACTCATTCCACTGTTCTGTTTTTCCACCCCTTCTTTGTCTTCCTCAATCCTTTCATCTACTCTAATGATCTTCCCTCTATTTTGATGAAATTTCCTCTCCCTTTTTTCCCATTTCTTTTTTATTCCCCTCCATTATTTTGGATTAACTTCTGCATATCACATAAAATATTCAACCTTTGACTTTGGGAGACTGGAGTATTTCCCTTAGCACGACAGCCTCTAGATCCATCCATTTACTGGCAAATGCCGTAAGGCCATTCTTTTTTATGACTGAGAATACTCCATTGTGTGTGTGTGTGTGTGTGTGTGTGTGTGTGTGTGTGTGTGTGACATTTTCCTTGTCTATTCATCTGTTGAAGAGTACTTTAGTTTGTTTCATAGCTTGGCTGTTGTGAATTGTGCTGCTATAAACACTGATGTGGAACATCACTGTAGTATCCTCATTTTAAGTTTTTTGGATATATAGCAAGGAGTGGGATAACTGGGTCATATGGTGGTTCCTAGTTTTTTGAAGAATTTTCATACTGCTGTATTTTTTGTAATCCTTATAAGGGGCATATATCAAGAATGGCATATGCCTGTAATCCCAATTACTCAGGAGGATTCCAAGTTCAAGGCCAGCCTTGAAAATACAGCAAGACTCAAAATAAATAATAAAAAGGGCTAGGGATCTAGCTCAGTTGCAAAGAACCCCTGGATTCAATAGCACTGCCAAATAATAATAATAATTATTATTATTAATAATGATAATAAATTTTTTAAATTAAAATATAGGCCTTAAAATATTAGGAAATTAGTTATTTTACTATACATTTTCAGTTAAAGGAAACATTTGTATTTCTGGGTAGTAAACTATAAATAAATTAAGAGACTAAATATCTTGCTGACCTTGCACTAATGGAGTAAAAAAAAAAAAACCAAATAACCATTAATTTAATCTTCCTTGGAAATCCTAAGATATTGATAGAATCAAAAAATATGTCTATTATTTCAAGGCAAAAAAAAATTTGGTACCAGGGATTGAACCCAGTGGTGCTTATCCACTGAGCCACATTCCCAACTCTTTTAGAACTTATTTTGAGACAGGGTCTTGCTAACTTGCTTAGTGCCTTACTAAGTTGCTGAGACTGGCTTGAATTTGTGATCCTCTTGTCTCAGCCTCCCAAGACACTGGGATTACAGGCATGTGCCCAGATCCATAAAGCTTTAAATGTAAATATAAATGGATCATAAATTATCAAATGTAAGAGACAGATATACTTATTGTGAAAACATATAAGAAATTAACTCATATCAGCCATCTTATATTAAAAGAGATGAATGGTAACATACTTTTTCTAAACTTGATATTATTAGGAGACTAGGTGGTAAAATTTTATATCAGATATCTTTTATCTGTGACCTGTTACTTCTTTCCCAATGTGAAGGTTGTTTTGAAAAATAGAAAATGGCTCATGATAGAGATATATGAAAATTATAATTGGCATATATTTCAGCTTTGCTGATCATATGCTAAATATATATATGGAGCCCAGGAAACGTCTGATTTAATTTTACTTGTTTTAACTGAAAAAAATTGACCAAATGACTATGAAAGTCTACAGTAACACAAGTTGAAATGGAGTAGATTAGTTGTCTAAATCAGTCAATCAGAAAGCAGCATCAAGTCACACAGGTAAAACATAAAATTCAACTAGTGTATCTATTTATTTTTCAATGCTGGGGATTGAATCCAGGACCTCATGCATGCAATGCCCCTTCTCTACCACCAAGCTACATTACCAGTTCCTAATGTTCAAATCTAAAGATCACTGTTTAAACAACGTGTAACACAGAGCAGTTTTTACAATCCTATACTATTTTACAACAAGAACAAAAAAAAGCCAACACAAACAAACAGTTATGAGCATCACATTGGAATAAGCAACGACAACCAAAAAATCTTATAAATGAAAACAATTTTTAAAGGCATAAATTTATTCTGAGTCTGGTGATGCACACCTATAATCCCGGTGGCTAGGGACTGAGATAGGAGGATCACCAGGTTCAAAGCCAGCCTCAGCAACTTAGCAAGACCCTGTCTCAAAAAATAAAAATAAAAAAGAGCTTGGATGGTAGAAGGAGACCCTCATCATTATACAAAATACATGTATGAAGATGTGAAAAAAAAGAGCTTGGAATGTGGCTCAGTGGTTAAGTGTGCATGGGTTCTATTTCTTGTACCAAAATGGAAAAAAAAAAAGGATAAATTTAAATGGTTAGTGTTTATCACTCATATAGTTTTACTGATAAAAACTGTAACACAAAACCATCACACCAAAAGTATTTCTTTTTAAGTCCAGCCATGAATTAATCAAATTCCTGAAAGTGTTTCTAATACTATTCTCTAAAACTTGGAAATCTACCTTCTAGCTATTTAAATTGATGGCATGCAATAAATCATATTAGCATCTAACAATATATATTTTTACCGTCTTTTCAATAAAATGTGTATTTCCTAATTTTAAGCGAAAATTAGAAAGGTGAATATATGAGTCATTCTACATTAATGGTTATGAATTTATTTTGACTTCCCATATAAAGATATATACATGTATACATACACAAAGTGCATGCATGAGCACACATACACAAACACACACACACACACACACACACTTTTTGTCCTCCTGTGGTGTAGCGCTAGTTGTTTCTTCATTAATTTATTAATGCTAAAATATAATAAGGCACTCTTTTCTTTTTTAATATTTTTAGTTGCAGACAGACAAAATACCTTTGTTTATTTAGTTTTTCTATGTGGTACTGGGGATCAAACCCAGTGCCTCATGTGTGCTAGGCAAGCACTCCACTGCTGAGCCACAACTCCAGCCCCTAAATCAGTCTTTTCTAGTGCTTTTTGTAGCTTTTTAAACTCCTTTTATAAAGTAGCAACATAAATATTTCTATGCCTCATAGCCCATATGATCTGTATATAAATATTTAGATGATTTTGCTAAGAGTTAATATTTGATTATACTAAAAATTAAAATGTTATTAAGTAAAATGCAAAAGCTAAAATGACAACATTATACTGCTTGTCAATTGAAAGTGTTTCATGATCACAGTTTACAGAGATAGTTACATACAATATTTCAAAGGAGAGTGTTGAACAAACCCAACTGCTGGCTTCTATGTGAGATAAATTAACTTAAAGACACATTTTACAAGGGAAAAAGAAATAGAAGTTAATTTTATACACAACTAAAATGAGAAAACAGTGGTATTCCCCTTAGTTCTTGGGGTGTACACAACATATACCTAAACTAAGAGGAAGCACACTGTATCATACGTCTTGATTCTATTACTTACTAATTTTATCCTGTAGTATAAATCACAATCTTTCCAAATATCAATATACTAATCTATGCAATGAAAATATTACAAAATACTATTTTCAAGGCTCATTCCAACTTAAAAAATCTATAACTATGTGAAAATATCTACAGAAATGACAACTATAAAAATYACAGCATAAATAGAAATGCCTACATTAGTCAGAACTAATTAGCTAGTCTTTAAAATAGTAACTTCTGAAATAATTTAAATTTAATTCTCTCTGACATTCAGAAAATGGATTTTAAATTACTTCAGACTATTCTTATAGTTTAATATTTCCAAATAACAGCTCTTTTCTACCCTGATATTAAAGATAATCTTATTCAGTTTATTTCAGATGATTCTATATTTAGTAATACAGTTATTTATGTACTGTCAATTAAATCTTTCACCTATTACACTTAAAATGGGACCTTATGACATGTAACTTTTTTTCAAAAAAGTTGTTTATTAAAAACATTTCAGTCACAAAAATTTCTGATGGAAAAATCTGTCTTATACTTTAACTGCAGTTGATTATTAATAATTGCATTTACTTATTAAAAACTTACATGAGGGCTGGGGTTGTGGCTCAGTGGTAGAACGCTTGCCCAGCCTGTGTGAGGTGCTGGATTCGATCCTCAGCACCACATAAAAATAATAAAATAAAAGTTTTGTGTCCAACTACAACTAAAATAAATATATTAAAAAAACTTACCTGAATAACTATCATTAACTGATAGGACCCTTTTTTCCTTTCCCATTATTCTCTTTCTTTATATGCTAAAAATATTGCTTAATAAATCAACATGATTACTTACAAGGCAAGAATCTGCTTCTCCCTCTTCCATTGGCTCATCAACCATTTTAAGACCATTTACCTGAAAAACATCGTTTAAAAATTGATAGTCAGGAATATTAAACCAAGAGTAATAACTAAGAGATATATAACCCTATTCACAATCTACTAAGGCCCGCACTTACTGAAAAACAGGAGGACCAAGAACACATAGGCGGTACTTAGAAAAGAAAAACTGCTAATATGGTTCCCAGATTGACCTTAAGAATCCTTGATTTTTCAGAGCTTTATGTTTCATTTCATATTGTTTAGAACTTTGCTAGGACATATGATCATACAGTAAGTACATTAATTATGTATTTTCATTAAGATTGTCCTAAAGAAAATGTCTATGACATAAAAAAGTGTCACAGAAGAAATCTACCTTGGATATGTTCAAGAAAATTAGAATGGAAATAATTTTACATAATTAAACTGTTTTAAATTCCACTCCATCAGGTGAATTCTATTTAAACACATAAACTACTACACAGAAGAAAGAATATACTACAGAAAATAGATATAAATGGCCATGAAAAGAAATTATTTCAACATACACATCTCAGTATATAATTAAACATATTCTTCAATCACTAATTAAGGGAAAAGTAAATATAAACAACTTAGATAAAGGGTCTACAAACTATGATCCATAGGCCAAATCTGGCCTGCTGTCTGTTTCTGTATAAAATGTTCCTGGAACACAGCCACACCCAATTGTTTCTAAACAGCAAAACTGAACAGTTGTGACAGAGATCCTATGCCTGCAAGGCCTAGGATTATTATTTGGCCATTTATGAAAAAAATCTGCCAATCACAGACATAAGATGTTTGAAACAGCAAAATGGTCTGGGGAAAAAAAGGAATTTTATCATTGTCCACTTCAAAGAGTCCAATAAAAAGTAGAAAAAAATGATGTAAATTAAACAGAGCTACTGGTGAGAGTCAAATGGAATAAGCCCACAACACTTATCTCTCCCCTGATTATACCTAAAACCCTAGGCATAAAACAAAAGGAAACGACCTAAGGACTCTACAAACTAAGCAACAGAATTGGAAAAAAAATCAAAATTTGAAAAATAACTGATGAGTTCCCTGACTTTATTTTTCACCTTTATCCCCCTGAAATTGACCCAAGGACAGGCTAAGCCATGGATCTCTACTGCACATGAACAACATTTCCCAGAGAAATCCTACTTTGTAGACACAGAACCAGGGGGAAAAAAATGCACTTCTGAGGTGTTGAACATAAGAAGAAGCTAAGAATTTCCCATGACAGTCTTCTTTTCAACTCCCATTCCTAATCTAAGGTAAACTCCATTAAAAAAGAGAACCTGTCTCTCTGACAGAGGAAACAGAAAAAGAGGATTCTATAATAGGAAAGGCATGGAAGTAATCCCTGTTAGTTTTTTCACTATCTTCTTCACTTCATTCCAAGGACAGAAAGACTAAGACTTTGAGACAAACTCATATTGCTTGCCAGAAGAACAGCATCAGGGCCTCTGAGAAACAAATAATTTGGAAGAAATAATGGGAAAAACAGAATGGCAGAAAGATATCTCCTAATTATTTGTATGAATTAATACATCTGAGGTTCAACAACAAAATGCTTGTGCAGCAAATACAACCAAAGAATACAAAAAAAAAAAAAAAAAAGATTTGAAAACTGACCTGCACTATAAACCATTGCTCAAGTTTTAGACCAAAAGTGAATTAGGAAGTGCACTCAGTAGCAAATGCACAATAATACCCAAATGCTCTGAAAACTAAATTAACATTGTAATAATTATCCAAAGAGGGGAAGACAGAACTTAGGAGTATGAACCAAACAAGGTAGTTTTCTCGATGAAAGAAACAAACACCAATGGATCAATTCCAAGATGCCTCTCATAGTCAAATATCTGTCAAGGATTTTAGAACAGCTGTATCAAATAAGATTTTTTTAATAAAACAAAACATATCTGAATGTAATGAAAAATACTTCTCAGCAGATACATAGAAAGTAAATAAGAATCAATGTAAGTAATTCCAGATCCCAAAATCATAATATACAAAACAAAAAAAAATAATGGATATAATCAATAAAAGAATGCAGACAGAAGTGGATACAGTAAAGTTGAAGATAGATAAACAGAAACAATCCAATATGAATACAGTGAAAATGATCAAACAAGCTACTATGCAATCCAGAAATACCACACTGGGTATATACTCAAAGGAAATAAAATTAGAATGTCAAATAATACCCACCTGCACCTGTACTCCCTTGTTTACTGCAACACTATTTATAATACACAGGATGTGGAATCAACCTAAATGTTCATTAACAGGTGAATAGATAAAGAAAATGCAGTATTTGGGCTGGGGATGTGGCTCAACTGGTAGCGCGCTCGCCTGGAGTGCGTGCGGCCCGGGTTCGATCCTCAGCACCACATAACAACAAAGATGTTGTGTCCGCCGAGAACTAAAAAATAAATATTAAAAATAAAATTCTCTTCTCTCTCTCTCTCTCTCTAAAAAAAAGAAAATGCAGTATTTATACACAATAGAATACTATTCAGCCATAACAATCATAAAATTCTGTCAACTGCAACAACACAGATGATGCTGAAGAACACTGCACAATCTCATTTATATAGAGAATATAAATCTAAAAAGATAATCTCATAGAAATTCAAAGCAAAATAGTGGTTGCCAGAGACTGAGGAAAATAGTGGGAAAGGGTGTGGGGATAGATCTGTTACAGGTACAATGTTATTTTTAGATAGCAGAAATAAGTTCTGATAATAAGTTCACATATAACTTGAATATAATATATTCAAGTTATATGTGAATATAACAATTTTTTCATTCTCTGTCCCAAAATAATTAGAATTTGAAAGAACTCATCATAAGGTAATGATAAAAGTTTAAGGCATTGGATATGCTCATTACTGAATTGATCACTAATCAAGATAGCACATGAATACATATATGCATAAAAAATAAATTAACAGAGCCTCGGACACATGGAACAATATTAAATGGTCTAAGATCCATGTCATTAGTATCCCATTAAAAATAGAATCATACTGAAAAAAATTACTTAAAGAAAGTAATTACTTAAAGTAATTCCCATTCCCATGAAATGTTGAGAATAGGGAAATCTATAGAGATAGCAAACAGACGTTGTTCAAGGCTGATACATGAGGAGATGAAGGTAATAAAAAAATAGTACAATGGTCCTTTTGGATGTGATAAAAAATTTGATGTTTGCAAACATCTGTGAATATAATAAATATATCAGATTATATATTAAATGGATGAATTATATGATATATGAATTACATCACAATAAAGCTCTTTTAAAAAAGCATTAATAACTGAAAATGTACTAAATTTATAGATTTAAGATCAAAGAACCCCCAAATAGGACAAAGTTATAGAAAAACCACCCAAAGACATATCTTTTAAATATTTATTTTTTAGTTGTAGTTGGACACAATACCTTTATTTACTCATTTTTATGTGGTGCTGAGGATTGAACCCAGGGCCTCGCACATTCTAAGCGAGCACTCTATTGCTGAGCCAGTCTCAGCCCCAAAGATATATCTTAATTAAGCTACTCTAAACCAAAAGAAAAGTGGGAGAAAAAATATTGAAATGAGAGAAAAGTTTTAAATAAAGGGAACATCAAATTGGCTGCAGATTCCTCAATGAATAATCATGGAGGTCAGAAAACAGCTGAAGAACATTCACCTGAGAAAAATGGAAATGCATGTTAACAAATAAATCTGTGTATGAATGATTAAAGCAGTTTTATACATAACTGTCATATATTGGAAAGAGTCCATGTGTCTTTGATCTGGTAAACTGATATTAATCATCAATAAAAATAAGAAAACTACCGATACCTGAGAATATACAGATGGATCTTAAAAGCGTTTTGCTAACTCAAAGAAGCCAAACCCAAGTGCTAAATATTGGATGACTTGTCTACAAGACACTGAAAAAGGCAAACTACAGGGAAAGAATTTATATCATTAGTTTCCAGGGGTTGGGAGTTGAGTAAGGCAACTCACTACTAAGCAATAAAAAGGAATGATTTAATGATACACTCAACAACATGGGTGAACTGCCAAATATATCATTGTAAGGGAAAGATGCGAGATACAAAAGGCTATATAAGGTGATTCTATCTATAGTATTCTGAAAAAGGCAAAACTATAAAGAATGGAATAGATTAATGGTTGCCAGGGATTAGGGCATACTACAAAGAGGCACCTTAACGGGCATCGGGTGGTGTGCCAAGGGGGTGAAGGACTCTTGATCTTGATTGTGGTGGTAGTTACACAAAGTTATTTATATAATTACATTTGTCTATCCTCAAACCACACATGAAAAGGAGTAAATTTGAGTATATGAACTTTTTAAGTCAACATATTTTAAGACAATTTACACAATTTAATGAATATCATCTTATGAAAACCAAGTAAAGCAACTAATGATGTTTATTTTTTTTAATTTTTAAAATTGATTTTATTTTTAAATACACGACAGCGGAATGCATTACAATTCTTACTACCACATATAGAGCACAATCTTTCATATATCCAGATGTATACAAAGTAGATTCACGCCAATTCGTGTCTTCATACATGTACTTTGGATAATGATGTCAATCACATTCCACCATCATTGCTAACCCCATGCCCCCTCCCTTTCCCTCACACCCTCAGCCCTATCTAGAGTTTGTCTATTCCTCCCATGCTACCCCTCCCTACCCCACTATGAGTCAGGCTCCTTATATCAGAGAAAACATTCGGCATTTGTTTTTGGGGGATTGACTAACTTCACTTATCATTATCTTCTCCAACTCCATCTATTTACCTGCAAGTGCCATGATTTTATTCTCTTTTATTACTGAGTAATATTCCATTGTGTATATATGCCACATTTTCTTTATCCATTCATCCACTGAAGGACATCCAAGTTGGTTCCACAGTTTAGCTATTATGAGTTGTGCTGCTATAAACTTTGATGTGGCTATGTCCCTGTAGTATG